ATTCCTGCATGATTCCTGGTACATAGCAGAGGGCAATGGCTGCTGAAGAAACTGCCTTTTCACCCTCCTTACTAGTTACTGCAACTCGGTGCCCACAGGGAGCAACAGTGACGCACAGATGGGCACACTGAGTATAAGGCTCTCCTAAGGGGCCCATGAACCCCTAGGGAGCCCCATCAGACACTAAAAACCAACACAACTGCCTGTGTGGCGAAGGCCCCTGTGTAACAGATATGCAGTACTGCAAGCCCCAGAGATATAGGACTTCCTGCTGGGACAAACGGGTACCTGGGTAAAGCAGCCTCCTCCACAACTAGGACCCAGCCACCAGAACCTCTGTCCATAGCATGTAAAGAACAGCAGCATATTCCAGTCTAAAAATTTGCATTTTTTAAAAAATAGTGCTGCTGTTTAAACCCAGGGCCTCACCTCAGGCACCCTAGCAAGCACCCTAGCATCCCCAGCCTGAGATGACATCTTTGTACTTTCTCCTGGGTGTCTCAGTTAATGATAGCGTACAGACACAAGCCTGACAGGAGCTCTCTGACCCAGTCAGCCCACACCTGCTTGTTTATAGGGCAGCGATATGGGACCATAGCAACCTCCAGGATCTTGGGTCCTCAGACAGCTAGAGGGGCTGGTGAGAGGTCTCACTCCTGAGTCCTAGTCCCTGCCAACCCCAGTTTATCTGGGCCCAGGCCAAAGGAGGAAACACAATAGAAAGGACAAAGATAGAAGCCGATGGAAAGCTCTCCGATAGAACAGTACAGGTAGCCTAGGCTGGAGCAGCTGCTGACGCTACCCAGGCTGGCTGTAAATCCAAGCCCAGGCAGGTCTACCTCTCCACAGACTTGGAAGCAGGTCTGTCAAAGCCTGAAGGCAGCTCCTAGCCTGGGTACCTGGGTGATATGGAAGCTGATGGTATAACATTAGACTTCTGAAACCCCATCCAAGTTGCTAATGTTGGAGACCCTCTACCAGCCACGACTGCCCAAAGTCCTCTAGGTCTTTAGGCTTGAGGCCAGGTACATAGGAGACCAGATGGGCTCCAATGTGTACAGATAGAGATTGCTACCTGAGCCTCCGTTCTCTTGTTCCATGTGTTCCCTCAACTCTTAATATTTACGTAGATTTTTGACTGGGGTGTAGTGTGGTTCCAAGGAGCTGTATTCTTGGACTTACATGCAGATCACTTTTGGATACCTCATCCACGGCTCCATCCATTGCCAAGCTCTTGCATCCTTTGCCCTTCCCCACATCGTGTTTTCAAGGCTCAGACTATGAGGGAAGAGGTGAAGATAAGGGGCCAGTACTAGGACAGGGGCTCAGGACAGTATTTCTGCAAAGGCAATATTGGCCCTCCCTAAGACACAGGTGCCTCAGCTCTAGACCACCTGGAGCAATCTGAATCTGCAGTTGGACACAGCACCAGAGTGATTCAAAATCTGGATATTCTTAGAGTCTTTTCTCTAACCTGGGCCATCCAGCAATAGTTCCCCAGCCACACTCTTGGCAATGCCAGGAGGTGGATGAGTCTAGGGTCGGGTCTGGTGCAGGAAGAGCCCATGGGTGTACAGAGGTTGACTCAAAGGCACTGTCATGTTCTCAGATGGTTGCAAAGGCTGTCACCCGTTTCCAGGTAGATCAGACAGCCCTAGAGCTAGACAAAGTGGTTGGCAGTTTGTCCTGCCATTGGTCAAGCCACCTGGGTCCAAATCCAAACACTTGCCAACATCAGGAGTGGAAGATCTAATCAGAATGGAGTATTCTGAAGAACTAAAAATCCAAGCAGAACAGAATCAACTATACTTTGCTGCATCCAAAACCTCACCAAGTACTGGGCTTCCATTTCCCTGCATCCCACTCTCTGTGAGTACACCACCCCAGGTCAAGGAACTGGGGCCTAGCCTGAACTCTGATCCAGCACTACAAGGGCCTTCAGTTATCGGAGCAAGGGTAAGAGAGCCCAGAGACCACCTCACTCTTCCGGCACTCATGGTTCCCTATGAAGAGCATCTTTTAAAACAGGTTTAATGTGTTTTTGCTTGTTTTTAAAACAAAACCAAGTGCTTTCCCACTGAGACGAGGCCAGGCAGCACCGGGGAGGCCGGTGAAACAGAAGCAGCAGCCTCATCCAGTGCACGTGGGGGCAGGGGTAGGGGTGAGCCCCATAGGGGCCAGAACGGAGGTACAGTCAACTGATCTCCAGTAGGTGTTGTGCTTATGGGCCCACATGTGCCTACTCAGCAAAGAGCATCTGCTCCTTTAAACTATTTCCCCAAGATGCTGTGGATTACAGGACAGAGCATCCTTTACCAATGGAACTCCTCCACGCTGTGTTGGGCGTGCACCCCTGGACCTCTACAGTAGACTATACCAGGGAGAAAAGTTGGAAGACGGCAGACTGTGCATGCCCCCTCTCTCCCAGTGCAGCAGGAAAAAGGCCAGTGGGCCCCAGAGGTCACACACCACCATGAGAAGCTGCGGATGAGGGCCCAATGCCTCCAAGCCTCCGTGCCATGGTAATGAGGGAACGTAGCTGCACTAGCCTCACTGGCCCCACTTCTCTAGGATCCTGGCTCTCCAGCCACCTCAGAGCTGTCTCTAGACCCCAAACAGCTTCCCCAGCAGTAGGTACCAACATTCCTCCTTGCTCAGTAGCCTCCTCCTCCTCCTCTCCAGCCCCCATGCTAGAGGGCAGGCTGGCTGGGGATGGAGGGGCTGCAGGAACCACCTCCTCTCTGCAGCCCTCAGGGAGCCCTCCATCATCATCCAGGTGCAGCCACTCTGCCACCTCTTCAGGTGCCAGGCGCTTGTAAGCCAGAGCTGCTAGATGTGTGAGGTCACTGAGCACCCTGCTGCGTTCGGCAGCCTCCTCTACCTGGTGGGCTGGCTGCTGCCCGGGCTCAAAGGCTGCCCTAAGACCCAGCAGCCAGCAGCGCTCTATGCTGCCTGCCTGGACCAGGTCCCATGAGAGGCCAGCCAGGTATAGCATGTCCTTGAGCATGAAGCTTCTCATGAAGTCTAGTGGGGAGCCACTGGCACAAGACACAGCAAGCCTCAGCAGCTCTCGTTTGTACAAATGTTTGAAGGCTGCCACCACACCATGCTCCAGCGGCGCAGGGATGTGCGCTCGACTGTTGCCCTTGGACAAGAAAAGCACACGAACTGCACCATCAGGTGTCTGCAGCTGCTCTGGGGAACCAAGGAGCTCAGGCTGGCACTGCCTAGGAGTCTCCTCACTCTCTTCCAGGGCCGGCACCCTAGTGGCCCAGCTTGGACAGGGTGGATGGGCCACTAGCAACACTGCCTTCTGTTGCAGACAGCTTCGGCGCAGGTAGCGCTTGACGCCAGGGACGAATTCCTCAAAGAACCAGCCCTGAAGAAGAGGACGACTGAGCCAGGCATCCGGGCTGTAGCGGTAGGAGGCCGGGAACTTGTCCTGGTTGTGGTGACGCAAGCTGGGTGGGTCTGGTAGTTGTCCGATAACTAGTGGCTTCAACTTGTGGCTGCCCGTTAGGTTGGCGGCCAACAGAACTGTCACTCGGTCGCCGGGCCAGCGCCGGCTGCACCCACTAGGCCCGCTGGAGTCCCGAACGCCTGAAGTTGAGGTCTGTTCCGGAAGTAACCTCCAGTACAGACCAGTAACGTTGGCGTTGTAGATCTGTTCGTCACCATAGCCGCCCTCGGAGTGGGGTAGAGTGGCCAGCGCTCTGTCAGGTAAAACTGCGCCGGGTGGCTGTGCAGGCTCCTCCTTGACAGGTGCAGGGCCTGTGGCCGGGATCTCGGTCTCGCCATAGATGCGCTGGCTGGAGATGCCGTGGCGCTTCTGCCAGCGCCAGAACCAGCCGTGGCTAGCCTTGAAGGTACACTCGGGGCCGTAGATCTGGCGAGCAAAGGCCTCAGCCTGCGCTTGGATGACCGGACCGGACAGCGGCACGCCGTGCTGGCGCAAGGTGAGGAACCACGAATAGACGGCGCGGTCGATCTCCTCCTCGTTGGCCAGACGCATCTTCTTGCGCTGCGTGCCCACCTCTCCACCAAGCTGATCCAGAAACCAGCGCAGCTTGGGCTCGTCCTTGAGCCAGCCGCGCAGCGTGCCGCCCGGTACGCCAAAGTCGCGGCACACGCTGGCCTGCCGCTCACCGCCCTTGACGCGCTCGATGGCTTGCAGCTTGTCTTTGATGGAGTAGGCCTTGCGGAAAGTCATTTTTACGGCCACGCGGGGCCGCGGCTCGGGCGCGGTGGGCGGCGGGCGCTCCACGGGACCCTGGCCGGGAGCCGGTGATCGCGGCGACTCAGCAAGGCTCCGGGGCGGAGGAAGACGAGCACGATGAGGGACCGGGTGCAGGGCCGGGCCGGCCGGCGGGCTCATGGGGTACATGGCGTCAGCGCCAGGGACCACCGGGCTAGCCAGCCTGACACCCCGCGCGGGCCGCTCGGGGCGGGGCTCGGGGGCGGGGCTGCCCGGGTCCCTCCCTTTTGTCTCGCCGGCCCTGTCGGGACAGGCGCTCTAGTCCCGCCCCCTCCGCCTCGTGGCGCCTGCGCACGGTCTGGACGCGTCAGCAGCGCGTGCGCACACCAAATCCGTTTCGTCCCGCCCTAGTCCGGCCGGCCCCACTCTTCATGCCTTGGAGGGGTGCTGAGTGTTGGGACGTCCGGTTCTCTGCTGTTTATAATAACTCCTCGAGTGAAGCGCGGCGCCCGAGGTAGTTGTCCCGTTGTTTCTGCCAAAATAGTTCCTGCATGTATTGTGGTGCATGCTCTGCGGGCGAGGCAGCGCGTGCTCAGGGTTGTGTCCCCCGCCGGGCCTCTGTGGTCTGTGCCACTGCGTTTTCCGGGAGCTGCGCGGTCGCCCTCCCTTTCCTTTGCAGTCCTGAGCTTGCAGTTCCAGGTTTTGGTTGCTGCGTCCTTGGCTGGCGTGTGAGTACCGCGGGCCCCGCCTCAAGGAGCGCACGTGCGGCGGAGGCTGGAGTGCCCCGGCCCCGGGCCGTTCGGGTTGGCTCCAATGGATCAGTGAGGGCTACGGGCGGGTGTCTGGTCCTGTGTGGGGCCGGGCCGGTGGCCACATGGTTGCCAGCTTCCTGAGCGCTGCTTCAGGCTGGCCGCGCGGCGGCCTGCCACGGCCATGACTGACACCCTTACCGGGCCCGCGTTCGTCTGCCCCAGCTGTTGCCTCCTAGGACCTTGCGGTTAAGCACCGAGGGCATACCGAGCTCTAAGGCGTAGAGGGAACTTGATTCGGGTGCAGCCTTGTGGAACTTAGGAGGCACACGAACACAGGGGTAGAGAAAAGGCATGTGATGCCGGTCGGCTCAAACGTAACGGGGCCACTTACTGATTTGAACAAGATGATCTGGGCAGTTTTCTCGGGAAAGGGTCGTTGAAGGGCACCGGCTGTTCTTTTTCTAATACATGAGCGCTCTCTCTCTCCCAGCATCATGGTTTTCTAGAGTGAAAGGCTACCTCGCAGCAAAAGAACTTGGTGAAACTAATGTTGAGATGCCCCCCCCTCGGGGGGGGGATGCTTCTGAATTGGCCCTATCACTCAGGGATGATAACTCAGTCTCACTTCAGGCGGATCCTCATGGATGAAGCAAAAGATGGATGCAACAGGACCACCCGGTGCCCCTTGAGCCAATCCCATGGGGCAGCAGAGTCAAGAGGAAGAAGTCCTCAAAGGGATGAGGAGTCCCCTCCCAGGCTCTGGTGCTAGTTCAGCATGAGCCTCCACTTTGACTGCAGAACTCCATAAACATCGGCAGCGTTGGCAGAGGGAGCCGCTTAGACTTTCTTAACCTGAGATGCGCGCTGCATGGTTTTCTGTCCTTTCAGGGGGAAGCTGGTACAGGGCTAGTTCTCCAGGCTCAGCTTTTGGATAGCTGAGGCTCCAGGGCTTACTGCAAACGAGGCAGAGGTGCATGAGAGGGTTTGACGGTCAGAAAGAGTGGCCCTTGGGGGGCTGTAGGCAGTGGTGTGTACTTGTTGCAGATTGGAGACATTTCCAGGTACTGGAACATGCCTTGGTCTCCAGCTCCACATATCACTTAACTCAGCACATTGGGGTGGTTACACCAGTCAGAGCCTTTATTTTCCTTTCTGGGTCTAAGATGTCACACGATCATTCCCTAAGTATGAGGTTTGGCACAGGTGTTATCAAGTGTAAAGGAAGAGCTAAGAGAGCAAGAGCTGTCTGACAAGCCCCAGGACCTGTGTGTCAGGTCAGGGTACCTCAGGTTGGAACAGAAATAGAACCAACAAAACATGGCATTTGAGGCTGCCTGGGTTTAGGCTGAGCACTAGCCTTTGGGGCTCAAGATAGGCAAACAGCACAGGCCAGTGTTTCTGGAAAGGATTGGGACATCCCAGAGCAGAGAAGCAGGGTGGGAACTTGGGAATGTAGAATTCTCATGGGAGAAAAGATCCAGGGCATTATCACCCCTGTGCCTAGATAAACGGCAGTGTGGCTCCCCCACTGCGTGTCTGGTTGTGACTAAAGAGAGAGCCTTTGCTTCGAGTCCTCCACATTCCAAGTGCTACCGGTTGCCCCTTGCGACACCAGCCTCAAGCAGTTCTGATAGGCAGCCCTGGTTCACAGACTCAGGCTAGCTGAGCAAGGGGGTGTTGCTACTGGGGTGCAGGGGTGTGAGTTGGACTTGCTGGCAGACATTCCCTACCCACCGTGCTCACGAGGACAGTGAGTATTGGAAGCCCATCAGTGATCTGACTGATGGGGTGACATGCCGTTTCAGAACGTCCAGAGGACAGAAAGTGTGGGGCTTAGGGCTCAGAAAGCCAGCCCGGAGGGAAATTTTCTCTGTTCTTACCAGCACGTGGAACCCTTCAGATGTTTGCTGTGGGGCACAGCTGTGACATACCTGTTCTCATCTTCCTCGGGGTCCAGTCCCCTAGCCAGAAGTGTCCCTGGCAGGAGCCCTGATTAGTCCAAATTAGTAGAAGCTATGAGAGCCCTAAACACTTGTGTCCTTCTTTGGAGAGCAGATGTAGGCTGGCCCTCGGAGGCTACAGCTGGCCAGTTAGCTCTTTTGGCAAGTTCCTTGTGAGTGGGGCTAGGTCTGAGTCCTGGTACTTAGGACCTATAAGGTCTTGTCTTACCACATGAGGTGCCTGTATCCAGGACCCTCCAGAGCTCAGAGATTCTCGTCTCCCACACACAAAGGGTCTTAACTTACCTCTGGTGACCAGTCTTGCTTTCTGGACTCCAGCCTATATCCAGGAGCCAGGGCAAGGGTGTTTGTCCAGGTCCTTTGGCATGTCTGAGCCTGCTTCTCCGGAAGTTGGCTTTCCGGCATTACTGTCTCTTTAGCATGTTTCTGCTATTGCCTAGATAAAACCTCAGGAGAAAGAAAGGCCAACCCTGTTGTAGGGACACGGGTATTGACAGACTTGAACCTGTGGGGGTTTGAGAAATTCACGGCTGCATGTTCCCAGGCTGTTTTTCCTGGATAGCTGTGGGTTTGCATGTGTGTGTCCTCCAGGGAAGCAGTGGAGTTCAGGTATGCCCAGTGTGGGTGCAGACTGGTTAAAGTCCTCGAGCCTGTTGTGTGCCTGTGGGTAAAGTAGGATGGGGAAGACCATGTCCTTTGGGAGCCTTTGCTACTTGTGCTGTCTTGGGTTGGCATCCCTGTTTGGTCTCTATCTCCCCAACTCAGAGATAAGAGACCCAGTATCAGCATCGTCACTGGGCCTTGGTGGCAGCTGAGCCCACAGTTTAGAGCTGTCTGGACCACTTGGTCCCTTGGAGATAGAGCAGTGGGGGAGTGTCCTTGCCGGTGAAGGGGAGCCTTCTTCCCCAGCTAAGGGAGCATCTGTAGGTGCTAGCTTGCCTTATTGCAGGCTGTAGACACAGGAAAGGACAGGGTGGGAGCAGGTAGCTTCCATGGTGGTTTTTTGCTTGTCTCCTAGTTATTAGGAATCCAAGAGCTACATATCAGGGGCTAAGGGGAAAGTGCTACCTCTCAATTATGAGGACCAGGTAGCCACCTGGGATTAGATGGTGTGTCTCATTTTATCAACTCTGTTGCCATGCCACCTTGACAAGCAGCTTCTAAAAGGCCACCCAGGCTGCCCAAGCTGCTGACTGGCATGGGTGGCCTTTCCCACTGCTCTAACCTTGCTGCTTTTCCTTCATGCTGTCCTAGGAGGCCAAAGCAAAAGTAAGTACACCTGCGAAGTGCCCTGTGTCTCCTCCCTTCACCTGAGCCAAGGAACCCCCAGCCATTACCTTGCCCGAGGGAGGCACACCTAGGCAGAGTTGAGCTTTCTAGGACAGGGCAGTGGTGTGATTACCTGTTCTAGTAGCAAGTAGGTACCCATGTGGCCCTGGCACCAAGCAAGTCAGCATACAGCCCTCTGCCCTATGGAGAAGTGGTGGCCTAAGGAAGTATTCAGTCTTAGTGGCCCTGTCCCTTGGAAGTAGCTACATCTGTTGCCTTCAGGAGGGTTCCAACCAAGTCTTAAGTTTGGTAGAGAGCCAGTTTAGTGGGTGTTGCTGAAGGGAATGGAGGGTCCACCTAGACCTGTAGCGTTCCCTGAGAGCAGAGCAGCGCAGCCTGGGGGACTGGAAACCAGGAGTCAGTCAGGTCCTGCTGTGATGGCATGCACTGCCCCCGTAGTGACAGTGGGTGATGTCACAATGCTGTGCCTCCTGGGATCCTGCTCAGTCCCTGCCCCTGCCCCTGCCACTTGGCCTTGGTAAGTGAGGGGGTGGTCTAGAGACCTCTCTGCACTGGGTCCCTGTGGCTCCTGGTCCTGGCTCCTCACAGTGGAGAGAGCTTGGGTGGACTGTATTAAAGAACGATAGCTCTGACTTAGAGGTAGGCTCCAGAACGTGACAATTTGATTCTTCTGAGGTTCTGAGCATGGGTGAGATTTGGATAGCTTAACACTCTTCCAGTCAAGTGTTTTGTCGGGTGTGTTAGGAAAAGGACCTAGCCGATGATAGGAAGGTTTGCTGTCCAGCCGAAGGGTTCCCTTCCACTGCTCGAGAGCCTGCCAGACAATCAGGGTGTCATACGGACCCACAGCAGCATGTTAGCGGCATCTGTACCCCAGTCCGCGAATTTTGTTAGTTGAGTCCAGACTACAAAGTCTTAGAATGGCTACCCTTCTAGGGCAAAGCAGCACTAGGAGTATTTATTTACCTGTGGCCTTCTGGGCTGGCTGGTAGAGCCTGGAGCCTGTCTTTTCCATAGTGCCACATTCAGCTTCAGGAGTAGTGGAGGCAAGTCCTCCCTATGGCTGTTGCTGTGTGCTTCGTGCGCTTCAGAACCAAACCCTGCTGAGGCCCCTGAGACAAGAGTCCTGTCTACTGATTACAGTAGCCAGTGGGATATGGTATCCTGAGACTCTGAAGGCCCCATGATGACCCTTTGGTTCAGATGATTAAGGATCCCTGTTGGTGGGCAGTCAATCCCTGACCCATCCCTGTGAGGTCAGTCAGGCTCACAGAGACACTCTCCCTTTCCCAAGATTCTTGCCCCTGCTCCGGAAAGGCCCATGAGTCTGGACAGGGTTATTGTGTGGCCAGGGTAGGTTTAGGTGTCTTTCAGTGATGGGCTACTTGCTGGGCTCCATCCACCTTGACAAGTCCCTGTCAGTGAACTGGAAACATCAGCCACCACTAGGTGTCAGGCTCAGCATATACAAAAGCACAGCCAGTCTTAAGCTTGATTTCTGTAAGCCATGAGTAATTTACTATACATCTCATGGGATGTGTTTACACTTAAAAAAAGAGAGAGCCTACTGATTGTTTTTATTAAAGCCTACTGTAAATGAGTACAGCTGTTTGTTTTGTTTGGCACCCTATCTGGGGACCCCTTGAGAAAAGGTTCTGCCGAGTTTGGAGGTGTTGTTTAGATCCTTTTCTCAAGCTGTGGGCTTATGGGTTAGCAAAGGCAACAAATGCAATAAGACGTGGGTGTATGCCTATATATGTATGCTATTTTGTATTTACCAATGCTCCTGGTATGGATTTGACGTCTGTGCCCTTGCATGTCATCTGGTCAAGCCCCTTTCGGTGGCTTGCCCTCTCATTTGCCCAGGCCTCCCTGCCCACCCTTACCTACCAGACTGCGGAGGGTCAGGGAGGCAGGTGCCTCTGCCGTGTTGCAACTGCCCTTCTTGTGCTTGCTTTTTAACGCTGCGCCCGAAGATGAGGAGTGGGAAGGCCTCTTGTGCGCTGGAGACCGTCTGGGAGGACAAGCACAAGTATGAGGATGCAGAACGGCGCTTCCATGAGCATGAGGCCACGCGAGCCGCCGCCTCGGTCCAGCAGCTCCTGGCCAAGGTGCCAGCTGTGAACGGGCCCAGCCAGGAGGACACAGAGGACCCCGACGAGGCAGAGGCCCCCTCCACCGACAGCAGGAGTGATCCTAGGAAGAGCCACGAGTGCAAGAAGCCCCTACAGAAAAAGAGGAAGCGCTCCCCCAAGAGTTGGCTTGGCCAGTCAGACCTGGCCCTCGTGGGCCTCTCAGCTGACCACGTATGGCTGGACAAGCCCCTCTTCGACCAGGCAGAAAGCTCCTACCGCCAGAGGCTGGCAGATGTGGCCGCTCAGGCAGCCCAGCCACCTGCTCTGGTCCCTAGAGCCCCCTGTACGCATGGAAGCCATGTGGCCTGCCACCACGTGATCTGGGGGATCTGGGTCAACAAGTCTTGCTTTGATCAGGCTGAGCGGGCTTTTGTGGAGTGGTCTCAGGCCTTGCTGCTGGCGGTAGAGGGGAGCCGCAGGCAGGGGACTCCTGACACAGGCCAGCAGGCTGCTTCTCCGGACCTGGCTCTGGCCTGCCAGCCTTGCCCACCAGCTAATGGCCAGCCGCCTCTGGGCAGCCTGCAAGCACTGGTGCGGGAGGTGTGGCTAGAGAAGCCCCGGTATGATGCAGCTGAAAGGGGCTTCTATGAGGCCCTATTTGATGGCCACCCACCAGGGAAAGTACGCCTGCAAGAGCGAGCCAGTCAGGCAGAGGGTGCCCGGAGGGGCCGCAGAGACCGTCGGAGTCGCAATGCAGTAGGAAACAAGCGAGCTGGGTCGAAACGGGCTGATGGGGAGGCCCCCTCCTCTCTGCCCTACTGGTACTTCCTACACAAGGACGCAGAGGCCCCCTGGCTCAGCAAGCCTACCTACGACAGTGCTGAGTGCCGCCACCATGCTGCTGAGGCCTTGCGCATAGCCTGGCGCCTAGAAGCTGCCTCCCTGGCTCACCGACCCACGCCCCGTTCTGGCCCATCCATGTCCAGCCTGAAACCCAAGTAGGAGAAATATGGCTGCAGGTGTTGGGACTGACCTGGGCTATGAGCATACTAGGGACAGCTGTCTCTAGGCTGGTGTCCCTCGTGCCCCCTGTGGACCTGACCAGCTTGAATGTAGGGTGGGGTGGGCACCTATAGTGCTCTGCCCTTGAGGGTTACAGAGTTCTGACTTGCTGGTGTTGGTTGGGGAAGGGGTCTACATGAGGCAAAGCCCCCTATCACGGAGCCCAGAAGACAGATTGTTGGCAGGGTGGGTGGGAAACCTTGTAGCTGGGTCTCTGGCACCTGACAGGTGTTGACACCCACAGCCCAGGCTATAGTGTGTGCTCTTGGAGGCCAGGTGGGCCTTAAACCTGAGAGCTGCACGTGATGGACAGACTGAAGGGTGCTTGTCTTTTACCTCCAGTGAGGAGAGAAACCTGCCTTTAGCCCAGAGCCCCCAAGGGGTCTTTCTCCAGTACAAGTGGATGGAGTCCTAACAGTGGAATCTGAAGGCCAGGAAAGGCTTTGGGGTCGTAATGTGTGACCATTGGAGGTGGCCCCTAGGCAGATAGGTCTGATGGATAGACATGGAAGAGACACAAGCAAGGGGAGAATGGGAATGGAGCCCAGTGGTCTGCCACCTACCTGCCCCTGTGTCAGGGCTCTATTCTTGTTAGAAGGCACTTGTTTAATGATGGCATGATGCTTGCTACACAGAAAATTGGCAGGGAGATTGGTTGGTCTGTCATAGCTGGTAGGAAGGATGGGCTAGTGAACGGTGGGCTCTGTGGAAACTTTGCAGCCCCTAGCTCCCATACTGCTCCAGGTTTAGGACCTCCATGGTGGGACATGACTTGCATAGGCTTAGTGAGCCAGACCCTGGTCTAGAACAGGGCTTTCATTGTACTCTTGACGGTTTTTTCCCTCTTAATCAAAACTCATGTACTAAGAGTACTTACATACTGAAAAAGACAAACATGTTGCATGCTTTAGGTGACAGTGAACTTGTCTCATTGTTACAAACCCATTTGGCTGAACGGTGGGTAGGCGGCTGGCTGCTGATCTTACGGTTGCTTTTGTGGTCTTGCTGCTGGTTTGGGCTATGGTTGGATTGTGTGGTTAGAAGTCAGGGCCTGCGTGCCTGGTGGTCTGGAGGACTGGCCTAGGGATACTCCTCATCCAGGTCCTGGTAGGGGAAACCCACTTGGAGGATGGGAGGACTGTTGACTGTCTGTGGACAGGGCTTGGTGTTGAACACTGGTCTTAGCCACAGAGAGGTATTTTGTGAGCCAAGCAGGACTGTGAGCTAGCCCAGCATGCCAAAGCCTTCACGGCACTCCTGTTTGTTAACTCTGCCTGGTCCAAGGTACTCAGGCAGGATAGACCTGGTGCCTGTGGGGAAGGGGAAGCCAGAGGTTGACTGCAACTTTTTCTAGCCACTTACCTGGCCACTTTTTCCCATCTCAGCAGAAAAATGGCCACAAACTTTCTAGTGCACGAGAAGATCTGGTTTGACAAGTTCAAATATGACGATGCGGAGAGGAAATTCTATGAGCAGATGAATGGGCCTGTGGCTGCTGGCTCCCGCCAGGTGAGCACTGTGCTTAGGGCTGGCAGAACCGGGTGGGCCAGAGACACTTGTTAGGACCAAGGGGCCCTGTTGAAGGGATCTTCAGAAGGGCCTGGCTGAACCCTGGGGTGCTTCTGCCCTTGGCCTCTGATCCTAACATGGGACTCATTCTTGCTGCTCCCAGGCAGCTGGGGCCAGCAAGCAGACAGGTGTCTGGGGTGGTGTGTGGCCAGGCCTCAGCTGTACAGCTGCCTGCAGACTTTATGGTCCTGGCCTCAATCACTTTCTGCTTTTCACTGTCCTGGGAGCTTTCATTCTGTGTAATGCATTCATCTCCTTGTAATGCATTCTTGCTTTTTGAGTGAGGGTTCTTAGGGATTTTGTTTTTGTGTGTGGGGTTTGTGTGTGTGTGTTAAAAAAAAAAATTTTTTTTTAAACCAAAGCAAAAAAGACTAGTTCTTTCTGCACTGTCTGCAGGAGAATGGTGCCAGCGTGATCCTCCGTGACATTGCAAGAGCCAGAGAGAACATCCAGAAATCCCTGGCCGGAGTGAGTACCTGCGACCCATGTACCCATGGGCTCGTGCTCGGCCAAACAGCATGTCTGAGATGTGGTTTTTTTCAGCCCTTCGGCACTGCTGACTATTTTGGCCTTGGAGCAAGTTAGGGCACAGGGTGAGGTGCTGTGCTCTTGTAGTGTGTGAGTGCTGAGGCCTCCGTAACCACACTGCCATGGAAAATGGTCTTGCTCTCTAGACTTTTCCATGTCTCTCTCTCGTGCATACTGGAGTTACTGTAGCTATTCCTGTGGTGCCTGCCATGGGCTGCCTGGGCTTAAGGGGTGTCATTTTTGTAGGGTGTGAATTGTAGGTACATGCCTTGCAAGACTCTTCCTTCCTGCTTGCTCCCTTGCTGAAGAAGCACACATCCCGATCCATTAGACTACTCTTGTTCCTCCTGATTTGGTGGGGCCCTTCCTGGAAAGGGGATAATTATTTAGTGAGGTATGCTAGTCAGCATCATCTTGAACTAACGCCTGGAAGGGGGCACTCTGCATGGCTCCTGGGGTCTCAGACCAAGGCTGGGTGTACCCCATCTAGCTCTAGCATACTGGACCAGCTGAGAAAGGTGTACCCTTTTGATGGCAGGCAGACTTGCCCTGTTTTCTCACTCCAGAGAAGTCAGGCCCTCAGGCTATCTCTGTATGGGCTTATGTCCTGGAACAGGTTTTCTGATGGCTCTTTAGTGGGTTACCACAGCCATACTTCTTAAGACAATGTGAATTTGTCATCAGATGGCTCTGAAGGCTGGAGGTTGAAATAGGGCCAGAGGCAATGGAGTTGGGTTCCTTCTGATGTTCTGAGCGTCCTTTCCTACTTGCCCCCCTCCTTGGGGCAATGTTTGTTCTTTGGTTTCTTGTCCTGTCAGCCTCCACTCTCTCTGTGGCCCTCCTGCACCCCATCGTCACAGGAGACTTGTGAACCTACACAGGTAGCTCAGATTCTTGTTTTGTCTTTAAGCCCTGAATCTTGTTTGCCATTTTTGAAAGCATGCTGTGTAAAGCAACAGATTTGTAGTCAACAGGCATTCCCATTCGAAACAGGGAAATGTAGAAAGGGCCACTGGTCCCAAACAATCTCAGACTCCTGCCAGGCTTCCTGAGTTGTCCTTTGTGGCTCATGTGGCCCTGGGATACAGTGCTCACAACAGCACTGTTGAAGCTGAAATTTAAACAGCCTTTCTACCTGTGGAAGGTAGAGATCTTCAGCCTTTAAAAAATGTTTTTGTTTTTAATATTTCGCCCTGATCCCCTATTTGGTCTAAATTAGTGGTGGTATTGCTAGTAAATTTTCAAGAACTTTGCAGGTGTTCCTCTTGGTATTTTTTTTTTATTATTATTATTATGTATACAGTGTTCTGCCTGCATGTACATCTGCAGGCCAGAAGAGGGCACCAGATCTCATTACAAATGGTTGTGAGCCACTATGTGGTTGCTGGGAATTGAACTCAGGACCTCTGGAAGAGCAGCCAGTGCTCTTAACCACTGAGCCATCTCTCCAGCCCTCCTCTTGGTAGTTTTGATCCCATCACATATCTTAGCATATGGCTGTGGGAATTCACAAGTCACGTGCTGGCCTCTGACCTTTCAGGTCCTTACACTTCCACTCTTCCCAAGGCAGCCACTGCTGCCCTCAGCATTTTGCTCTCTTGACAGTATATTTGTTTTCCTTTGCTCTCTAGAGGGGCAAAAAATTTCCCCAGCCATCTGGCCCTAGCTTTTTTTCTGCTCTGCTTTCCTTTTACTACTTATGGGAGAAAAGAAACTGAGGCCAGCCTGGTTTACAGAGTGAGTTCCAGGACAGATTCCAGAGAAACCCTGTCTCACTCTCCCCCCCCCCCCCCAAAAAAAAACCCAAATCTTGGCTGGAATGGGTCTTCCTGGCTAGATGTACAGTGACAGCACTTGGGAAAGCTGAGGCAGGAGGATCACCACAACTTTGAGATCTGCACTGTAGAACAAGGTCTTTGAAAAACAAAACAAAAATAACCTCAAACCTCCAGCTGCAGATGAAGTTTTCTCGCTTAGAAGTCCTGGATACAGAGGGCCTAACCTCCCTACTGTGCCTTCAGGCCTGTGCCCACTGCCATCTCTACAGCAGCTTTAGAGGCATCTTGTGGAGCAGAACCAAGGTGTCCATGGGGTCCTTCAGAAGTCTGGAGAAAATCCCCTCTGTCTGGTCATCCCTGCCTCTATTTCTCTCGTCCCCGCTGCCATGCATAGAGCAGTGGTTCTCAGCCCTCCTAATGCTGCAGCCCTTTACCACAGCTCCTTGTGCTGTGGTGCCCTTGGCTGTAAAATTGTCTAATTGCTACTTCATAACTTAAATATCTGTTTTCTGACGGTCTTAGGTGACGCCTATGAAAGGGTCACGACCCAGAGGTTGAGAACCACTGATCCAGGCCCATAGTTCCATCTGTTAAATCTGCTTTGCTGTGTAAACTAACGTGGAGATTCAAGTACAGCCATTCCTAGGGCACTAGTCTACCAGATGGTCAGCAGTGCACAGCCTTTCAGAAGGTTGCACACCCCTGAGCTCTTCCTGGTCCTGCCTGACTCCTGTTAGTTCACATCCTGTCATCCTCAACCAAACTCACGATCCCATGCACACCCAGTGAAGCTCAGTCTCGGTGAACATGGAGTTAGGGAGGGGGATTTTGTGCTTGGTCCGACACATTGAGCTTCAGCCCAGAAAACTGAGTCGTTCTCAGCAGCCATTTACTGCCCTGGCTCTGGGCTGCCCCTTGCCAGGTCCTTTCCTTGGTACCAGGCCTGCTGTCTGGTGTGGGAGAGCCCTCAGGTGTTGTGGAAACAGTCCCGGCATCCCAGCCTAGCATACAGTCACATGTTCTAGTCTTCGGAACTGCCTGGCCTTGCTTACAGGTGACTGAAGGAATCTTCCCTTCCATGCTAGCTGTGCCAAGAATCCGACCATAGGGCTCTGCTGCCACATGCAAGTTTTTAAAAAGAAAGAAAGTCACATTTGTTAGCCCAACTGCTGCTATGCCATGTGTTTGGCAAGACCTGTGTGTCTGTTGCTCTCGTGTGGAGCAGATTCTGCCTAGCAGATACTAAGAATGCTCACCACCCTCCCTAAGAGGACGTCCTACTAGGGCCTGCTCAGATCCGTTTGGGCTAGGACTTGCATGCAACTATTTCTTCGCAGCCAGTAACTCCCACTGTGAATGGAACTAACATGAGAGCATGAAGCTAGACACATGGGTTTCCTGCACGGGGAGCCTGCCCTGTGCCCTGCTGGGGCCACCTCAGGAGCATGATCACAGGTGCCGGCACCACCTCCATGCTCCTTCTGTCTGGCCTCTCAATTGCTTTCCCCTCCTATTTCTAGCTCAAGGTGATGCTGCCCAAACCCCCTGAGGCCCTGGGCCAAGCCACCCCTGGGACTGTAAGTCCTGCTACTTTCTCTGTTTGGCTCCCTTGTCCTATCCTCTGCTTGGCTGAGAGTCACAGTGGGCTGTACAGCCATTCCCTGAAGACCACAGGTCTTCCCTGCTCTCCCTAAGCAGAAAGTCTGTTTTGTGGTCCCTTATCTCCCTAGGCCTTCCTGTGTCGCTTCTCCAGCAGTTCCTTGACCAATTACTGTAGGGGATCCTGTAAAACAGCCTTTGCCAGACCTTCAGCTTGGTCTGGGCTCTGCTTCTGAGTGCCTGTAAGGGAATCTAGAAGCAGGCTAAAATACTAAGACCAGTGTTCCCCTCCCTTGCAGAGCTCGGGCCCTGGGGCCTCCAGTGGACCTGCTGGAGATCATAGTGAGCTCATTGTACGGATTGCCAGTCTGGAAGTGGAGAACCAGAACCTTCGAGGCGGTGAGGGCTTGGGCCTGACAGGTGGGGCTCCAGTTCCAGCCTCTGCTATCTGACTGGTGTCTCCCTTGTGCCCACAGTGGTGCAAGATTTGCAGCAGGCCGTTTCCAAGTTGGAGGCCCGGCTGAGCACTCTGGAGAAGAGTTTACCTACTCACAGAGCCACAGCCCCCCAGACCCAGGTGAGTACCCTTGCTGACTTGGGAAGGAACCTTGGAGTTGTGCTCCTGGCTTCTGCCTCCACCTGCCCACTAACCCAGGCAAGATTGAACCTCAGGGCAGGCTGGCTTCGTCTTCCAGAGGGCTAAATGAGTCTCGCCTTCCTCCCTTCCTCTGTGGCAGCATGTGTCTCCTATGCGTCAAGTGGAGCCCCCAACCAAGAAGGCCGCCACACCAGCAGAGGACGATGAGGACAATGACATTGACCTGTTCGGCAGTGATGAGGAGGAAGAAGACAAGGAGGCGGCCCGACTACGGGAGGAGAGGCTTCGGCAGTACGCAGAGAAGAAAGCCAAGAAGCCCTCACTGGTGGCCAAATCCTCCATCCTCTTGGATGTCAAACCTGTGAGTGGTGGTGGGCCTCTGGGAGGACCAGAAACAGAACCTTATAACTGGAGCTGGAGGCTGGCATGTTGTGTGGCCTGATCACAGCCTCCTAGGTCTTGATGGAAGTTTAAAGACCTTAACATAAGAACAGAAATGTGGAGTGGGGCACATGTAATTTGGGGACTGTTTTTAAGCAAAACTATCTTGTATAGTTTGGTGGTGGCAGTGGGGGGGCATTATGGGCATTCCCTGTGGTATTCTAGAGGTTTCTGAGATGCTCACTCAGCCCTCCCCCTCCCCGTTCTCACAGTGGGATGATGAGACAGACATGGCCCAGCTGGAGGCTTGTGTGCGTTCCGTCCAGTTGGACGGGTTGGTCTGGGGGGGCTCCAAGCTCGTGCCTGTTGGCTATGGAATCCGGAAGTTGCAGATCCAGTGTGTGGTGGAAGATGACAAAGTGGGCACCGACTTGCTAGAAGAGGAGATCACCAAGTTTGAGGAGCATGTGAGTGGGCATGAGTGCAGGGTGGGAAGACCAAGTGGTTCTGGGACATTGGCTCCATAGGATCAGGTCCCAGTCAAACCCCACTGTGGAGCCTGAGCAGGTAGGCCTCTAGGCAGTCCGCAGCAACAGTCTTTGTCTCCGTCCACAGGTGCAGAGTGTCGACATCGCAGCTTTCAACAAGATCTGAAAATCGGAGAGTGTGTGATTCATGTGTGTGAGGACCTGCTGAGATTAAAGACTGAGACCCCGCACACTGGCTCTGTGGTGTTACTTGATGTGCAATATCAGTGTGCCAAATGTGCCAGGCTCTAGCCATTCTTGCCCAGCCCAGCCCAGCCCACCTTTTGCCTCTTCAAGCTGTTTGAGCCAGAAACAAAATCCATTGGGCCCACATTTGTCCACCCTGTGCCTCTTGTCCCTGCTGTTGTGACTGTGTGGAGTCAACCTAGGCCTGATCTAACATCACTCCTCCCTCCTTACCTCTGGAGGGGCAGTGCAGTTAACTGGAGGGGGGTTGTAGCGCCTGCACTATGGGACGGTATGGGAGCCGGGAACTAGGCTGGAGATTTAAACACATACACACACAGACAGAGACACAGGGACAAGGGTCATCCTTGAAACAAGAATTCCAACTTTATTGTGCTCCAGGGAAGCTTATATAGGGATCCTTAACATATAACCATGCCCCAGCCCCTGGGATTTCCAGCTGTAAAACCCACCAGAATTCACTCCTCTGCCTTCAGGAACTCATGAGGGTCTCATGCTCAGAGCAGCTGCAGACACAGGAAAACAAGTTGTTTCACTCCAGCAGGCAAAGAAAGTCAAGGGGCCAGGATTCTGCAGCCCCCAATAAGGGGCCATATCTTTCATGTTCTGGGACGGTTAGAATATGGACAGCCAGATGTACTGTGTGGAATTTTCCCTGCCCATTCCACTGTGGTCAGTGCTTGGGTTTTGGATGAAATAGTGTGGACATCTGGTGAGAGGTGCCAAGTGTGGCTGGTCCCTGCCAGTGCTGTTCATGATCCTTAGCCACGAGGAAGCAATGTGTTCCCTCCCCCTCAAAAGCTTTCCAGTGGAGCCTGGGATCTTGGGTCCAACAAAAGCTGTAACCTGAGGAAGGATGGGGTTTCAATTCCCAGCTCACAACCAGGTGTAATGAACTTCAGCTCCAGGCAATCTGGTGCCCTCTTCTGGCCTCTGAGCTTTAAGTCTGCCTGTAGTACAGAAGCACCCACACTTTTTTCCTTTCTTTCTTTTTGAGAATAAGTTTTGCTATATAGCTTGGCTGACCTGGGAATTGTTAGATTGCCTCGTGTCTGCTTCCCCAGGGCTGGGATTAAAGACATTCGCTACCACTCTGAACATAAACTATCTTAGGACTTTGACTCACTATGAGCCTGGTAGCTGGGTGGAACAAACATGCCCCTGACTGGTACTTGGGTTCCCAACACACCTGAAAGGTAGCTCTGACCTCGAGGGGCTACTGGTTTTCCAGGGAGATGCTCGCAGTTCTGTAGGTAAGCCTATTTGCCCAGCCCTGCTCTGGGGCAAAAGGCTAGGCTAAAGTACAATCTTATCAAGTACTCCAACCCTGTTAAGTTTGGCGTTGCTGTTTTGCCTTTGTCCCTGCTAGTTAAGTCCACTATCCTGAAAGAACCATTCTCAAGGGCAAACAGCAGAGTCTAGGAGGCTGGGGTAGAGGTAGGCGGGTCGCCTACCTTGCTGGTTAGAGTCCCTGCACTAGCAGTGTTTAGGTGGCTTGCCCCGCCCACTGCTGCCGGGAAAGGCCCGCCTCTGGGTCGGTTAGTTCCCTGGATGAGTGCCCTGGGGGGCGGAGTAGGGCGCCATTAGCCTGGCTTGTCACGCTGCATTTACAGTACTGAATTGCGATGGAGAAGGACTGCGAGGGGCGCGATGTGGTGCGGCCACTGCTCACCGACCTCTACCAGGCCACCATGGCGCTGGGCTATTGGCGTGCAGGCCGGGCATGCGAGGCAGCAGAGTTCGAGCTCTTCTTCCGCCACTGTCCGTTTGGAGGCTCCTTTGCCCTGGCCGCCGGTCTGCGGGACTGTCTGTGTTTCCTGCGTGCCTTCCGTCTGCGGGACGCAGGTAGCTCCGCAACCCGCACTGGTGCTCCTCCGGCTGGGAGAGAATCCCGCTCCTGTGCCCCTGACCTCTGTCTGAGGGGACCTGCACTTGCCTGGCCAAGTCCTCCCCCAGATCACATGTATTCTCTCTTCCCCCAGACGTGCAATTCCTGGCTTCAGTGCTACCCCCAGACACTGACCCTGCATTCTTTGAGCATCTTCGGAATCTTGACTGCTCTGGGGTGACGGTGCGAGCCCTGCCAGAGGGTTCTCTCGCCTTTCCTGGTGTAAGTGTCCTGTGATCTGGGTGGGTAGATAAAAGGTGGGGGGTGATCCAGGAGGTCCTGCTCTGGAACTAATCACTCGTCCCGCAGGTGCCACTGCTGCAGGTGTCCGGGCCCCTCCTTCTGGTACAGCTGCTGGAGACTCCCCTGCTGTGTCTGGTTAGTTACGCTAGGTAAGCGGAGTTCCTGAGAGGTGCAGGCAGTCGGAAGCTTGGCGGGGCTAAGTCGGTACACTGAGGTGACTCTGCAACTCTCACCTGGGCTCTCCTGGCCTGTCACTCTCCACAGCCTCGTAGCCACCAATGCTGCTCGACTTCGCCTAATTGCAGGGCCTGATAAGAGACTGCTAGAGATGGGCTTGCGGCGAGCTCAGGGTCCAGATGGGGGTTTCACAGCCTCCATTTACAGCTACCTTGGCGGTGAGGCCGGGAAAAGGCGTAGGTTGGGGAAGGGAAGGTATCAACATTCCTTGAGTCCCCTAAGCCCGCCTGCCTTTTTACCCAGGATTCAACAGCAGCAGCAACACAATTGCTGGACAACTGAGAGGTGTGCCGGTGGCAGGGACCCTGGCCCATTCCTTTGTCACTTCATTTTCGGGTAGTGAGGTGCCCCCTGACCCGGTTAGTACTGTTTTATGTTGTGTCAGGGTTCCGTGCAGCCCAGATTGGTCTTGAAATCTTGATCCTCCTACCTCTGTCTCAGTGTGTACAGTGTGTATCCATGCTGGGCCCAATCAGTCAGTACCTTTCTCAAGCCAGCTTACTCTAGAAGACAAGATCTCCAAACCAATTCTTACTCCGGCTAGGGTGGGCTGGCCCCTGCTGTATACGCTGGTGGATTGGCATAAGGCTGTACTAGAAAGCTGGCATTACATCGCATCACCTTTGTCCTCAGGTCACGATATATTAGCCACTCCCAGGTTTTACACTGTACTCTAGAACCATCTTTTATCTAATCTCTTTCTGCAGATGTTGGCTCCAGCTTCTAGTGAGGGCCCCACAGTGGACCTGGCCGCCAGTGTAAATTTGTGGCTGAAGCGTGTGTGCACCTACCTGGGACTGGAGGTGCAGGAGCCGCATCCAGGGGAACGGGCAGCATTTGTGGCCTATGCTCTGGCTTTTCCCCGGGCTTTCCAGGGCCTGCTAGATTCCTACAGTGTGCGCAGGTGAGGTATGAGCATTCTCTCAGGTTGACCTCGGTAAAGCGACTGAGCTCCTGATCCTGTTTTTTTACATGCAGGAGTGGTCTTCCCAACTTCCTGGCAGTAGCCCTGGCATTGGGGGAGCTGGGTTACAGGGCAGTGGGCGTGAGGCTCGACAGCGGTGATCTGCTTCAGCAGGCTCAGGAGATCCGTGGGATCTTTCGAACTGTTGGTGCCGAGTGAGTTCCCCATGAGGGGTGCCGTGTGCCTCCTAGAAACTCCTTGTGGGAGTCCCAAGGAGATGGGATTTGGACAAGAGGGATTGTCTCTCCTATACCAAGACCATGGTCCTATTTCGGGGGCAACTGGAAAAGCTCTGGGAGGGAGGAGTAGGGTAGGACCACCAGGGGTTCCTAAGAAAAGGGTGAATATAGGCATGGCTGATGGGGAGGGAGGGATCAAGGAAAGAGGCCAGGGTGAATCAGGAGCACCTAAGGGGGTGCTGCCTGTGAACCCATCACGTACAGGTTCCAGGTGCCCTGGCTGGAATCCGTTCCCATTGCAGTCAGCAACAACATTGATGAGAAGGAGCTAGCACGGCTGGCCCAAAAGGTAGAGTGGAAGAGGGACAGGTGGAGGGTAGTCTAGAGGGCTCTGGCACTCTGCAGGTGGCAGCTGGGCCCACTGTCACCTCCTCTCCCCACAGGGCAGTGAGGTGAACGTCATTGGCATTGGCACCAGTGTGGTCACCTGTCCCAAACAGCCTTCTATGGGCTGTGTCTACAAGGTAAAGAGAGTGTTTGGCCCCAGGTAGGGCAAGTCTGGAAGAACATGGATGGCAGGGGACAGGGGTCCAGCTATCTGAACACCCTGCCATTGCAGCTGGTGTCTGTGGGAGGCCAACCTCGAATGAAGCTGACAGAGGACCGCGAGAAGCAAACACTGCCAGGGAGCAAGGCTGCCTTCCGCCTCCTAGACTCTGATGGTGACTTCCTCTACTTCCCTTTTGCCCCTTTTCAAGTCTCCAGCTCCTATTTGACATTTTTCTTGCTTTTGCTCAGGGTTTTTCCTAATGGACCTACTGCAGTTGGCAGAAGAGCCCCCACCCAAGGCTGGGCAGGAACTCAGGGTTTGGCCCCGAGGGGCTCAGGAGCCCTGTACTGTAAAGCCAGCCCAGGTGGAACCACTGCTGCGACTCTGCCTGCAGCAGGGACAGGTGACTGCCCCTCATCTGCGCCTTCACTTCAGCTGAGCTCTGATCCCGAGCCAGCATCTCTAACCTTCCCTTTCCCCTCCCCTGCAGCTGTGTGAGCCGCTTCCATCTCTGGACGAGTCCAGAACCTTCGCCCAGCAGTCCCTGAGCCTCCTCAACCCAGCTCATAAGCAGCTGCAGAGCCCCCGAGTGTATCCGGTAGGCCTATAGGTGGCCTCCCTGTGTCCCGTGTGCTCCCTGCCCCACCCCCAGCCCCAGTGGCTCAGATCCCTCTATTTCTCTCTGCAGGTTGCACTGTCAGAGAAGCTTCAGGCTCTAGTGGACAGTCTTGGTGCTGGAGGTCCCTTGTAAAAACCACAGGGGTGGCGAACGGCCAGAAATAACATGACTCGCTGTCCCCACAACTTGTCGTGTGTCATTAGTTCACGAATGTCTGCTACTCTCTTGACTTCTAGAGCCTTCCAGAGCTGGGCTGGAATTGTGTTGAGGTGGCTCAGGAACTGCTGGGTGAAGGTTCTAGACT